AAGAATTGAATTCTTGATAGAAGCATTAGGTATAAATAAAGTGACTCATCATAAGAAGATGTAGCCTATATATCTTAACCAGAAATGCTACATGTCAATATTACATTATGGATAAAGTGATCTAGAATTCTAATATTGCAAAAAGCAGTTGTTGATCTGCGACTGCTGTAACTGCTGCTGGTGAAATATCAAAATGACGTCTCTTTGTGTGTGGGCCTAATATTAATCATATCAATCAATGTTTTTTAAGAGATAAAATAATAATCAGACTTTGATTAGACTTGTAGATATGGTATGAACAAAGAGCATCACCGCTTATGTCAGTTTTATTTAGGGATTCACCTCATAAGTGCTCAGATCCTCCTCCTCGCTGACAAACAGGTAACTCAACATTGCCAGGAGTAAGTGAATCACACTCTGTACCATGTCACATGAGGTCTTCTGTGACGGCCGGCGATTTTAATTGATTGTTTTTGCAAGGCTGGGGTGACAGGCACAGAGGGCCCTCGGGTTATAGATGAGTCAGGTTTGGTGCTGGGACAGAGCAGGGGCATTCTAAAGAAAGCAAATCCAGCTGTAGCCTGAGCCAACAGAGTTTTCATAAAGTTAAAGCTTGTCCACAACTGAGCTGCCAGACTTCTCACTAAATCAGCTAAAAGAGAGCGTATAACTGTGATTTTAGCTCCTATTCAGGTACATTTTAGGATTTATATTAATATTAAATTGTTGACTTTTAAGGCTCGTTCTTAGTACATTTCTAGATCAGGGTATCGGCCTGACTTGCAGTTCTAAAACAAAAAAATCCAAACACCCTTATCATTCTTTAAATCTCTCTTAAAGGGATAGTTCATCCAAAAATGAAAATTCACTCACCACTATGCTGATGGGGGGCTGGGTGAAGTGATTGAGTCCACAAAACACTTTTGGGGTTTTAGGGGTAAACACCTTTTCAACCAAATCCAATATAGTGAATGGTGACCTTCTTCAAACATAAGAAACAACATGTAATTCTATAATTCTTATTGTTTACATATTATATATTCTCCTTTGTGTAATGCTAATACATGTCCAATATTTTCATTTATACTAATATATTCCCTGTGTTGAGGTTTTTGTATTTCAAAATTGTTTTGTTATATTTGGGTGTGGTTGTCAAGCTATTATAAACTATCATTGTTTTCTACTGCACCCCATGCATATTTTTAACATTACCTTCATGGTTTTAAGTCAACACATGTCAGGCTGAAAATCAAATCAAATGAGGGATTATGTTGTACGTCAAATGTCTGCTCATTTCTTACTGAG